AACCTCCTGCAGCTCCTCCCCCCGGCTGGCCAGCCCCCCTGACTGGCTGGCCAACCTCCTGTGGTCCCTCCCCCTTGCTGGCCAGCCCCCGCTAGGCCCCAATCACCGGCCAGGTCAAGGGATCCCACCTGTGCATGAATTTGTGCACCGGGCCTCTAGTCTAATACATAAAAGGGAATGTAGGGTACAAATATTACTGATATTCAATAAGAATGAAGTAGGCTTCCCATAAATAGGGGATGATACTAAACACAACATTTTTCAAAATCCATTACTTTGGGATGGAATATAATAAGCCAGGATTTCACCAAACCCATACAAGTCCTAGTAGATAATTATTTTAGAAGATCAACACAGTTTATCCTACTTGCCTGTAGATAGATATCATACATCATATCAGTAAGTAAACATTATATAAAGCCAAAAAAATCCAATGGAGTTGCGCGAACACCAGATAATGCTTGATATAAGGAGTACACTACTGGCTTCCTGACCTCTAGTACACAATGAAACCCAGTCAACTGTACCGATTATTGTATCTGGCAAAACAACTGTAACAAAAGAATAGTGGCTTGTTTTGTTTTTTGTTGTTAATCCTCACCCAAGTATATTTTTTTCATTGATTTTTAGGGGGTGGGGAGAGTCTGAGAGAGTCAGAAACAAGAGACAGAGAGAGAGAAACATCGATGTGAGAGAGACACATAGATTGGTTGCCTCCCACATGTGCCCAGACCAGGCCGGGAATCCAACCTGCAATCAGGTACATGCTCTTCACTGAGAATCGATCCACGACCCTTTGGTGTGCAGGCCAACGCTCTAACCACTGAGAAACACCGGCCAGGGCAAGAATAGTATTTTTTTTATTAAGATTTCATAGGAAAATAAAATGCCAGGCCCTAATCTACTGCAGAGAGAAAAAAGAAAAATGTAATAATGAGAATTATGTCAATTTCACAAATTCTTAACAAAAGTCTGTACTGAATAAAGATGAATTTTTAAAGTGTACTATCACAAAATAAGTTTCAGATGACAGAAAAAAATGAGAAGAGGAAACAAAAAAATCATATTAAGACTGTCTTGGGCGGGGGGAAAAATGGACACATATGTAATACCCTTTGTAATAAAAAATAAAATTTAAAAAAATAAAAAAAAATAACAGATTTTTGGGCCTGCCCACCATTAGCACAAAAAAAAAAAAAAAAAAAAAAAGAATTCATCATTATACCTTACCTCAAAAATACATTATAGCATCTACTGATCTAACATCATCATCAGTCAGCGTGTCTCTGTGGTTGAACGTTGGACCTATGAACCAGGAGGTCACGGTTCCATTCTGGGACAGTGCTCCTGTCTGGGTTGTGGGCTCGGTCCCCAGTAGAAGATGTGCAAGAGGCAGCCGATCAATGGTTCTCTCTCATCATTGATGTTTCTATCTCTCTCTCCCTCTCTAAATCAATAAAAATATATTAAAAAAGTAAAAAGGTGCCTTAGGTATTTCTCCCTAAAGAATGGTCACATGTTCGTAGATCATCAGATCAGATCTTGCTAAATCAGCAATTTTCAACCTTTTGCATCTCATAGCACACATAAACTAATTACTAAAATTCTACAGCACACCAAAAATACATTTTGCTATTCTAATAAAAAATAGGTATAATTTTGATTTAAAAAATAATAACAATAGTAATTACCTAACCTTTTTGCTTCGAAGTGACTTTTGAAAGAATCAGGTGTCTGCCCAACCAGTGTGGCTTAATGGTTGAGCATTGTCCTATGAACCACAAGGTCACAGTTCAATTCCAGGTCAGGGCACAGCCTGGGTTGCGGACTCAATCCCTAGTAGGGGACATGTAGGAGGCAGCCGATCAATGATTCTCTCTCATTCTTGATGTTTCTATCTCTCCATATGAACCAGAAGGTCACAGTTCAATTCCAGGTCAGGGCACAGCCTGGGTTGCAGACTCAATCCCTAGTAGGGGACATGCAGGAGGCAGCCGATCAATGATTCTCTCTCATTCTTGATGTTT